GTGATAAAATCGTCTCGGGAGAAGCCGAGTCGTTGGCGATAAACTGATGTATGGCGGAGGATGACGTCATTTCGTGAGGCAGCCACAGAATCGAGGCTCCTTTCCTCCAGCCTCCCCTCTGCCAGGATAACCTGTTCTAGCGTCCTGTTTCATCGATCCATCCTTCGCGCCGGAACTGTCGCCATTTCTACGTGAAAACTTCAATTCTCTTTCCACGATAAAATATCGGCCAAAAATTATTTTGAAACGCATCGAACGTGACGCGAGATAATAAATCTTTTCTTACGATGACTGTAACACGTGACGCAATACAACTACGAGTTTTTCAAAATAGATATATCTTCGTGGAAATATTCCTTGCGAATCTTTTTCCATGAGAAAAATTATAATTACTACTACTCGTATTTTGTTCGTTTTACGTAACAATCTCTTTGCTGCTTTCGTAATATATACGTTTTACTTTTAATTTCCGCGTGGAAGCTAGATTTTTTTTCTTTTTTTGCGCGAGAATTATTGAATACACGAGATGAAAAAAAAAAAAAAATGTGAATAATCATTTGATATACTGTGTTGAGCAATTAACAACGTCATTCGTTTCTTTGCAATGTTTAACGTCGCTCTTCCTAGTTTTCCATATATCGATTTATTATCGATGTATGATATTATGTATATTTGAGAACGAGAATTTTTTCCACGTGTATCAATAACGATGACTAATTGTGTGAGTAACATCGTGCAAACACGTGACGAGAATTAAATGCTCACAATCTATCATGTTTTTTCAATAGATCGTTAACGCGTGGTTCGAAGATGATTCCAATCAATATTTAATCAAATATTTTCAAATAATTATTGGAATTATTAGCGCCGGCGTTGTTCTCTTCTTTTATTCCAAAAAAAATAAAAGAATCGAGAGAAAAAGAAAAAGATATTCGTATTCGTAATTGGCGGTACGTTTTCAAAGAAGTATTTTAATATTTATTTTTCGCACGGTTAATATTCAACGAGGGGACTCGATGACTAAGAGACGACTACATAGGCGGAAACAAATCATCAGCTCTAAATTGATATCTCGCGCATTCTACGAGATAGTCGCTGCTCTTATCTTCCTTGCACACTGAGAGTGATTCTCGTGAATCGCGAACTCGAGATATTGTATCATTTGATTCTCGATATAGCATTTTATTTCCTCTCGTAACTAGCATCTTTTCTTTATTTCCTTAAATATATATATTTATATATTATATATATATTAATATATATATTTAAATATATATATGTTTTTCGTCGAAAATTATTTTGAACTAACAAAATATTCCTTCGTTGCTCGCACGATGAAAAACCTTTGGACAAGTTGATAATATGCGTACACAGAGCCGTCTATATTCGCAATGCATACCTAACTACATACCACGCATGCGCACGTAAACTACTTTTATTGTTAGCAAACTACGAAGAGTAAACTTATGTGCCACGATTATATTTTCACTGCTCTGGTAATCGATACGAAATAGTATATAATAAGTAAATAAACATGTACCGCATATATAGGTCTCTTTATATGGAATAGTTGACTTTTTCCGTTAAACCGATAAAGTTGAAATGTCGATAATCAAACGGTGACGTTTTACTCTCGCTTCGACGTATAGTCGAACGTCCTTTCGCATTCGCGAATCGTATCGGAAGAGATGTACATAATAGGTGTACATGCATACCTGCATGTGGCGTTTTAAACGCGATGCATATTGAACGACGCATAACGAACTCTGCGCGTTATCGGACGCATCCATTATATCCGTTAACGGACATTGTCTGCAGTTATGTAATATCGCCGAATTACATGCACACACACATTATTTAAGGATAATATCATACATCTGCATCTAGCTCGATTTAGATAAAATACAAAACTATTTATCCATTTTTAAGATTTTAAAATAAAAAGATTTAGATAAAATACAGAATTATTTATCTATCGATTTTTCGAAACTAGTAGAGAAGAATGAGGGAGCTGAGATATTTCGGTTATATTTTTACAAGATAAAAATAATCGGTATCGTGTTTTCAATTGTTATCGATCGTGCCACTCTATCATTTTAATGACATCTGCGAGAATGAACAGTGTAATTCTATATATATATAATAATATGTATTATCATTATTTTATTATCTATTTCGATTATTTAATTTTCAATAATGTTGATTTTTTTATATTAATCAGATGATATTTAAGAATATGTTGTAACAGAAACTTTAATATAATAAATAGAATATTTTTGCAAATTATATGTGTCGATGAGAGTTATTTCAACTACTATTTGTTGTTGCAACAACTTTATTACAAATGTACAAATTGCTGTCTTTTTAACAATGACTAAAAATCTATTGCAATATATTAAATATAAAAATTTTAAAATAAAAGAAATTTAATATCAAATTAATCAACAATGAAAAGAACAATTATTTTCCAATCGTTTTTTTACATATTTTCTCAAAATCAAAATCTATATCAATATCGCGTCATTTACTAGAAAGTTTCCATTTTATTTTATTTTATTCGATCGTACAAAAATCTAACGTAATTTTCGAATTATAATAAAGCACAATGAATATCAATTGACAGCGATGCTCAAGATTATCGAATTTTCAAATAACGAAATAGTAAGACACGACGAGCGACAAGATCTTTTCAATTTCACTGGCGGAGAACGTCGTTGATGGAGATGACGGCATGCCTTGTTATGGTTGTCCGTAATAATTACGATACGTCGTGACCGGTTACTTGACCGCGACGTTTCTTCCGTCGTCTACCATCATCGTGCAGTCTACGTCGATTATGGATGTTGAAAAAAAAAAGCATTTCGAACGAACGGTCGATCCCTACTTCTCGAATATTTAGTAAATTCCATCGATTGTTAGGTACACAGGAATGCACACGAAATGAATAAATTCAAAGCTTTGCTTTGTCACGAATAAATTCGTGAAATGGCTAAACGAGAAAATATATTATTACTTGGAACAATTTTGGATTCTAAAATTCAAACAAATACGAAAGTTGGTATGCAAAAATTAATTAATTATTTATTAAATTAAAAGCAATTGAAATTTATCGTGAAATTCATATTTTATATATTCGCTTCGCTTCGCTTTATCTTAAATTCCTTGTAACTCAATAAATAAACCTCGATCGACATTTTCATATACCAATTTTTGTATTTGTTTTTACCTTCAGAATCGAATTCCAATTCTTTATAACATACGTGATATAATGAACAATAATGTAATTGGAGAAATGTATAATTGGTTCGATAATTAATATTTCCGTTTATATATTCGCGTTTCTATTTGCAATGTCGAACATCTGTCAAGAAGAACCATTCAAGCGAAATGGTGGCCAGGAGATAGCGGAGAATGGAGAAAGAAAGGGTTCCGTGAGAGAGATCCGATGTTATAAGTGTGACAGTTGGAAAGTAGCAATGGGAATGATGTCATCGTACGAATGTCGGCAATGTTCATGCGCTGTAACGTACATTGAATGGAATCGGTATGCGATCACCAATAAAGATGAGAATAAACGAAGAAATCAATGAAAGAGATATATCGATACGTATATTTATCGTGCTTTGTTAAAGAGACAATAGAAAAATTTTGATTCATAATAGAGCATCAAAGAAATCACCACGTGTTATTAATTTATCTTAGTCCGAATCCTGTCTCGTCACTTTCGAAAATAATTCCTGCCCGACCTGACCGACCGAGCAACGTATCAAAGAACGAATTCGAATGTCGAATCGATAGCGAGAAATAATCCATCATCCTACAAATTTCCTGCAATAGTGCTCTATTCTAAAAATTCAGACTTGTAAAACGTCACGATCTACGTACAAAAGAAGAGATTATAGCAGCGAAAAAGCAGCTACAAAAAACGACGAGAGAACGACATCGCGTCAAGGTCTTTGTCGCTACCACGATCGTTAAACTAAATTACGCTTCGCCTCGTTTCGTCTCGTTTCGACGAGCGTTTCGTTCTCGAGACGAATTTCCCCACGCTTAGAAAAACCCACGGCAACGAACAATCGATCATCGCGTGAGAACGCGAGACGAACGCGGTCCGCCACCATATTTATCGGCGGTCGATCTACGGGTAAACAATCTCGAGTTTCTTATCGGGTCGAAACAATGGTGCAATCCTCGCAGCCGAGTGTAGTAAGTATAACGTTATACCAGATAACGTAGACAATGCGCTTCCGGTGTGAGTTTTGCGCACCGCCATCTACTCCACTCGTTTTCCGATCCTTCGGCCAACTAAAGTATATCGTTACACACCGATACGGGCGTGTGCAAAGAATTCCCTTTGTTGTCATTGGATCGTACGAAAACAGACGAAATTCTCTTTCTCTTCGTTGCATTGGTTGAAAAAAAATATGGAACGAAAGCGTACAAGTCGATCAAGTATAAGACGAGGCCGAAATTCTTCGATTACAATGGAATCGAAGCATCGTTTTCACGTGACAACAATGCAACAACCCGTATAGGCGGCCGTCGTGATTAGTCAGCCGGCTAACTCGCTTAAAGGCGTCGCTGTGATCGAATTAAGGTCGAACGGGAGTGGGACTTTTCTCGCCATGATTAAGTGGGTCGTTGCTAAAACGCTATTGGCCGATTAGCTTTATCCACGTTGACGGTGTCCCTTGCGTCATCATATTCGACCGGTGCTCGACCCATTTTTTTCTGGAATCGGATCGCAAAGGAAATCGATCTCGCGTGAACGACGAAACGAGCGGGAATAACGAAAGGAAAATTTTCGATCGATCTTTTCGAGAAAAAGGAAAGGTTAAGAATTTCGTAAGGCGAATAATTGCTTTAAAACGAATGGAGACGACGGATCGAAACGTACGTTTCGTTGGAAAGCCGATTGGAAACGATGTCTCTCATCTGTGAGCGGTGAGAGGATTCGTAATTCCCTATTCGTAATTTTAACGCGTTTGTCTCGTTTTCAGGACAAGAGATGAACGCCCCACCGCCGGTGTACGCATCCTCCTGTCCCGCGTTGCAGTCAAACCTGTCGCTGCACAGTTCCTCTTATTACAGCGAATACAGCGGGGCGGCAAGGAGGCGATTATCGTCGACGGGCGAGGCGGACACCTCGGCCACGTCGAGCTACGAGGGTAGCGATAGCTCTGAGAACAGCGACGAGTCTCGCCTCGAACCGGTCAATCAGATCGAGCGAGAGCAACTCGAAACGTTTTTCCGGGGCTTGAAATCCCAGGT